AGCTTTTCCAGCAGCTATGTTCTTAACATTATCATCAAGGAAGAGCTAAACTCACAAAAACAAAAAACAACAAACAAACCAAAAAAAATTAATAATCAAACTCTGAATCATATAATTAGCAAAAAATAAAGAGGTAATTAATTAGATTGAAAAGCAGAGTATATAGCATACCGTGCGATAAGGATCGACCTGAGCAGCTTCAATGGCGATGTTCATTGCCTCCATTGAAGGCTTCAATATCACCGGAATCTCTTCCGGCCTTGTTGCCTTAGAGAGGTTAAAATTCATCGTCTCGAAACAAATGATCTGTTCAAAACAATCCGTAATTCCAAGACGATCCAAAGCCTTCATCGCATGAATTCGATCCGAATTCGTAAAAATCTGCACATTTACTTGCAAAATTAATTCACAATATCCAAATTAACATGTCATTAACGATCATTAACAGATCACAATACATTCAACCATATATAAAACAACTTACAATTTTCCTTTGATTAATACGACGCAAGATGCTTCGTAATTGGGGATCCGGTTTAATCAAATCATACGGTAATCTTCCGTGCACATAGCTGTTGAAGATTGGGGAAATTGAAATAGAAACATTTTCAGAACAATAATCGCAATTTTTTTTTATGAATTAGAGAATCAAACTATGAAAATAAAAAATAAAAAAATCTCAAAATATCTCACCTGTGATAATCATCGGCATCAACATCATAGCCTATAGCCTGCATTATAAAGCAAAGGAATTAAACAACACAATTAACTAATCGAAATTTGATTAATGGCAAAGTATTGAAGTACTAATTGAGAATTAAGGCTAAAAACAGGATAATTACTCGTAATCCGGCAAGAGAACTGCCGTAAGTTTTGAAAAGCTCAACACGCAAAGCCGATGCTTTCGACACCGGAAAACCGCATTTCTCCACCAGAAAATCTGTTTTTTCAGCCAAAAATAACAGATTCAGGTAACCGATCATAGCTCATGATATTGAATTACGTTTAATTTTAACAGAATTCGAACCGTCAATGTTCTTCTTCAAGGATTGTCCAATTCCAGTCTTAGACGAATACAGAGTATCATCCAAATCTAAACAAAAATTATTTCAAAATATTATTCAACACAATTTCTCAACAAGTCAACGAAACGCAAATTAAGACTAATAACTATAATTAAACACAATTCCACAAGCAATCGAACAAATATCATAAAAACTTCGACAGTCAAAACGAATTTTTCTTATGTATTTTAACAACAATAACGTGTTCAATCTAATCTTCTCATAGGTGAAGTCTCTAGACCTTATTCCTACCTCGTGAAACACGTATTATAACAAATTGAAGAGAGAAACTTACCAAAAATAATAGAGTCAAAAGGGGAGGAAGAATCCATAGTAGAGAAAAACAAATTGAGCAAATTATAAATGCAAATATTTTTTTGTGAAATGATGAGTAGACACAAGAGAGGGCTTTGAAATGGGGAGGGAAAGCGGGTATTTATACGAGTTTGTAGAAGAAGATAAGGACAAGATTGGGAATATAAAAATATTTTTGATGACTCATCAGATGATAACGAGTGTAATTTGACAACTGAGGTAAGCGGGACCCACACGTTATCCAATTAAAAACGATTATTATATTGTAAGGACAATAATGCCCATGTTTCCGTGATTGACACGTTGCTTATGATTATTTTAATACTCGTTTAAATGAGAGTGACTAATTTAAATATTTTGAGTTTCTTTAAATTCATTCGAAGGAAGCGATTTTTTATGAAGATATTTTTCACACTCAAGATTTAAAATCGAGATCTTTAATTAAAGGAGTAATGATTATATTCATGCACCTTGGTGGTAGGTTTTAATCCATTAAAAAATATTTGTAAAATTTAAAAATAATAAATTTAAGAGAAATATATAAGGTGAATCAAATGTTATCGAATATTTAAAACTACAAATTTCAGATCATATAGATTAAAAAATGAAAAAAATGAAAAATAAAAAGTAGATCAATTATTGAATGTCATGTCATGTGTATGTTCCTTCATAAAATGAGGGCCAAAGAGGAATGAAAAAACAATAAGAAAGAGATTTTGGTGTGGAGGAAACTATAAAATATTTCTGTGAATAATATTTTCTGATTTTGTTAACTTAATGTGTAAAAAGCATATCACTAAAGAAAAAGTTTTCCTATTAAACAAGAAAAAGTGTTTTTTTCCACGTACAGGCATAAGTCCATTGTTTTTACAATTATTGTAATTAGTTGATAAATATATTACCGATCTAAAGTACTAATAACACTACTAAAATGTCAGTTATTTCTCTTTGAAAAATGTTCGATGATTATTTCTACAAATATTTTAATTTAGTGAGAAAAAATAGTAATGTTTTTACATTAAAAAATTAAAAAATTTCCCACTATTTAAGTGATAATCTATTTCCCTACATTTTTCCAACTAGTAAAATAATTCAGTGAAAAATAAGGGGGAAAAATCAGTTTTTTTATAATATAAATTTCTCATTCATACAGTGGAAAAACCCTTTAAAAATACTACTTTTATAATTGTATTATATATATAGCCAAATATTTCTACAACAATATAGTTGGTTCCGAGATTATGAGAATTTTGTTATTTTATACTATTTTTTTATTTCACATCATAAAAACGTTGAAAGTATTTTATTGCGTTCTTAAGAGCTTATTGCCTACGCGTTTTGAAGATTATATAAGAATAAGATGCTTTACTATTTTAATTATTTGTAATATTCTTTTTCTCCCAAATAATTAAAAGAACTAATATAATATTTACCTAAAGCTAAGGTGAAAATAATAGAAATAAAAAAAAACCGCGGTTTCACACGAACAAAAACAATGATTTTAAATTAACCAAAAAAAAATCTTTTTGAAGGAAAACACAAAGTAATTATGATACCTCTTGTCATGTAGCTTTCCTTGAACTTTCAGTACAGGTTTCAACATCCATGTGAAATGTGTGTCAATTTAAATTCATATTTAATTCTTCATTTCGTATTTAATATCTATATTAAAGTTTGATTAAATTCATATTCACGCATTGTAAAACTTAGTCTTAAAAGTGATATTCCAATAAGATTTTTTTTTGAAATTCTTATAAATTCCAATCCGAAGCCTCTTATTAAAAGAGGAGAAATCTATCGTAATCATCTCATCACAAGTCTGTAAATCCATAAAAGTTGATGGAATTGCAACCCAACTACTTCAGGCTGATAACTTTTACTAGTCCATTTAATCTTTGAAACAATGGGTTAAAAATATTCCATGTTCTCTTGTTTATATCATCATAAGATTCTTGTTCATCAATTACAATATTTAGTTTTCATTCAATATTTGATATTCGCTTTTAAAATCTGATTAATTCACATCCATATATAAGAAAAATAACTATTTTTTACCGTTCAAAATTATTACTCATTATTTAAGGTAAAATAAAATTTCAATATCAATATTACTATGATAAATGGTAAGAATTTTAATTTGAATAATGTGATGTGAAGATGAGCTACTGTCAGTTAGAAGTTAGTTAATGTTAGTTAGGCTGTTAAAAGTGAAAGGGTAGATCAGTCATTTTATAATAATTAGTTGTAACTACCTAGCATAGAGTTAGTTAGTAAGATTAGTTACAAGTCACAGTAAGAGAGTTATAAATACTGTGACTCACTCAATGTAATCTTCTTCTTCTTAATACAAAATATCTGAGATGCTCATGAAGCTCTCATTGTTGCTCTGATTGAGCTCTTTCGTTTTACCTTCATGGTATCAGAGTTGTACCTTCACAGTGCTTACTGTTGAAGACGAGTTGTGCAAAAGATCAAAGAATCAATTTCTGATTCATCGATTCATCTGTATCATCAGAATTCATTACAGATCTGAGATTGGAGCTGAATTATGTGGTGAATAATTGTTGATTTTTCTCTGGTTTTGCTTCCGCGACAACAATTTATCAAGGATCTAATATGGTGAATGATCAAATAGCTGTGGATCAGTCTCCAATCGTCAACAATGGCCAAGGAGCTACTAGTTCCTTACATGGCTACACTGGAACAGGACAAGGTATCGACTATAATCATACTCTGTTTCTCAGTCCTACTGATGTTAGTGGCATTAGCATCATCTCGTTTCAGCTAGTAGGTGTTGAAAACTATACTCTGTGGAATCGATCTATTAGGCTAGCTCTGTTATGGAGGAATAAAACAGGGCTAATTGATGGATCTTCTCGAAAAGAGGTTTATAGTGAGGAATTATGGGGACAATGGGAAAGAGTGAATGCCATTGTATTATCATGGCTTATGAATTCAGTTTCGAAGAGTTTACTGAGTGGTATAGCATTTGCTACTACTGCTTTTGATGTTTGGACTGATTTAAAAGAGAGATTTGACAGAGTGGATGGATCTAGATCTTACAATTTACACAAAGATATTTCTTCCTTGCAGCAAGGTAATATGTCTGTTTCTGTATACTATACAAGGCTT